TCGGTGTAGTCAATTTCGGTTTCGGATGCCGATAAGGCTTTCAATTTACATATTAAAGTGAAATTCCAAACAGATATTTCTGTAAGTAACAGATAGAAAGCCAAATATCATGCAAATCACATAATAAACCCATAATTTATTTTATTCACTTAATTAGCATCCTTAACTTTTGATTAATGGCTAATTGTGGATCAGGGTTATTACAAGAGTGATCAAGATAGAGCTTAAAAAGAGGGAAAAGGAGTTACCCTTGAAGCTCAACAAAACTAGCAAGTTTTGGGAGCAAAAACCAACTCTTCAACCTCTGAAAATACCCTCCAAGAACCTCAGATCAATGATGGAGGTGTATGGCTATGAGGTGTGGTGCAATAGGTCAAGAACAATACACACTTTGAGCCAAAATATAGAGATATGGAGAGAGATATGTATTTTGCCTTCAACCAAATTCTGAACCTGTGCAAAGGAGAGGGAGGGCCTCTCTTATAAAGGTTTGAAGCTAAAGCTTCCTCAAGAAGCTAAAAGCTTGGATTCAAATCCTGCATACACATGTATGGAGGATACAGTCTGTGCCTTCTAGCTGGCATAGCTGGCATCCACACAATCTAACAAAACAGGAGGAAACCAGCCAACCAGAAAAGGTGGTCGGCTGTCCACTTTCCCTGGTCGGCCGACCAGGGCAAGTGGTCTCCCAGATAAAAAGTGGTCGGCCAAGAGTATTGGTGGTCTCCACACTGAAAGCAAGCCAATGGTGGGGTGGGAAACCATAAAATGTGGCCCAAAGACCAAGAAAACCAGTTTCCCGACCAGAAAACCGACTAGCGGGGAGAAAAGTGGTTTCCAAGGAGAAAGCTAGTCTCCCACCCTTGTACCACCTTCCGAACAAGGAAAACAAGGTTCGTGCCAAGAACGAACCAACACGGATGCAAAACGAGAGTTCTGGAGGCAAGACGCGTGGCCGGGGGCCTCGAAAACCGGCTGTTGAGCACAAAAAGTGGCATACGACCACAAAAGTGGTCTCCCGGACCACAACGTCCCTCTAGACAGAGGAAACAAGGTGTGATTCAAAAACTGTGCCAAACAGAGAATGTTAAGTGATCCCGAACCGAGGCACATGTCCGACAGCTCCGAAAATAAAAAAACTAGTCTCCAAATGGGAACAATGGCCTACGACAATGAAAAGTAGCCTACGGCCACTGAGAGATGGTCTACAAGACCTCTCCCTCCCTCCAGTAAGAGAAAACAAAACTTGGTCCGCGGACCGAGTCAAAGTACAAAGGGTCCCGAGGCTTGGAGGCAAGGCTCTTAGCCGAAACTTCCAAATCTCAGGACAAGCAGAACATGCACCATCACTGAGCGCTCAATCGATGACGTCTGAGTCTTAAGGTCGGTCAAAAATGGGGTGTCTACAGTCACCATCCTATGCATTAGGATGGTGATAAATCACCATTTTTTTTTATTTAATTTGCATTAGGCCCAAAATTAGATTACATTTCATCACCTGCAACCATAACATTAATTATTATTATTATTTTTTTATTTTTTTAATACTAATAAAGAATTCTTTTTATTGTAGTATCGAATTAAATTTACAAATTCAGGTGTCACATTTCTCTTCTCCTTAAAAGAAGTTTGTTCCCAAACTTGACGTACCTTGGTTTTCGAAAAGGTGTGGGTATTTGGCTCGCATTCAACTTTCAGTTTCCCATGTTGCTTCTTCGACACGATGGTTTCTCCATAAGACTTTTACAAGAGGTATAGTCTTATTTCGAAGGACCTGATTACGGCGATCAAGAATTTTTGCTGGTTGTTCTTCATAAGAGAGGTCTTCTTGAACTTCTAGGTTCACATAATTGACAACATGCTCTGGATCCCGAAGGTATCGGTGAAGCATTGAAATGTGAAACACATTGTGGACACTGGATAGTTTAGGTGGAAGTGTAAGGCGATATGCCACAAGACCAATCCTTTCTAGCATCTCGAATGACCCGATATAACGTGGGTTTAACTTTCCTCGTTTTCCAAATCGGATAACCCCTCTCATTGGTGAGATCCTTAGGAACACATGATCACCTATTTAAAATTCTAAGTCTCGTCTCCGTGTATCTGCATAGCTTTTCTGGCGGCTCTGAGCAGTGCGAATTCACTGTTGGATAAGTTGAACTTTATCACTTGTAATTTGCACGATCTTAGGGCCTAACAATTTCCTGTCTCCGACTTCTGTCCAATACAGAGGTGATCAACATTTTCTTTCGTATAGTGCCTCGTATGGTGTCATTCCAATACTTGTATGGTAACTATTATTATAGGCGAACTCCGCCAAAGGTAGGTGATCATCCCAATTACCTTTGAGGTCTAACACACACACATACGTAACATATCTTCCAAAGTCTGGATTGTTCTTTTAGATTGCTCATCAATTTGTGGGTGATAAGTCGTGCTAAACTTCAGAGTGGTTCCCAAAGCTTCTTACAATTTGTTCCAGAAATGAGACATAAAGCACGGGCCTCTATCAGATACGATTGAAACTGGGATGCCGTGCAAACGAATGATTTCTTTAATGTATAAAGTGGCAAACTTAGTAAGAAGTATGTGATTCTGATTGGTCAAAAATGCGCCGACTTCGTCAATCGATATATGATAACCCATATTGCATCATTCTTCGAGACTGATTGCGGTAGCCCAACCACGAAGTCTATAGTAATGTGCTCCCATTTTCGTTCAAGAATAGGGAGTGGTTGCAATAATCCAGTAGGTCTCTAATGTTCTGCTTTAACCTATTAACAATGCGGGCATTTGGAGATGTGGCTTGCTATGTCTTTCTTCATTCCTGTCCACCAGAAGCGTTCCTTCAGATCGTGATACATTTTTGTATTACGGTGGATCGCAAACCTCAAGCTATGAGCTTCTACCAATATCTTTTTCTTGAGTTCTAGAAGGTCAGGTACGTAAATTCGATTTCGGAATTTTAGCATCTCATTGCTGATTGTCATGTCAAGATCGGGCGTGCCTCCTTGTTCCTCATACTTTTTCTTCAAAAGTTTATCTTCACATTGGCGGATTCTAATTTCTTCAATCAGCTTGGATTCCATGATTATGTTAGCAAGCAGTCCATTGATCTTCCAGGAAATGAGGGTACATGCCAAACTTTTGGTCGTCTTTCGACTCAATGCTTCTGCTACTACGTTAGCTTTGCCAGAGTGGTGATAGGTTTCTATATCGTAGTCCTTCATAAATTCTAGCCATTGTCGTTGCCTCATATTCAATTCATTTTGTGTAAACAGATATTTGAGACTCTTGTGATCTGTGTAAATCTCGTAGGTTACTCTATAGAGATAATGACGCTAGATTTTGAGGGCAAAGATTACCGCGGCTAATTCCAGATCGTGGGTTGGGTAATTTTTCTCATGGGCCTTTAGTTGACGTAAGGCATATGCAATGACCTTCCCATTTTGCATAAGAACACAACCCAAACTATTGTATGAGGCATCACTATAAATTACGAACCCTTCTGTTTTTGCGGGGAGTGCTAGTATAGGAGCCGTCGCGAGGCTGTTCTTCAATTCTTGGAAGCAACGTTCTTGCTTGTCTGTCCATTCAAAGGGGTGTCTTCTTCTGAGTTAGCTGGGTTAAGGGTGATGTTATCTTCGAGAAATCTTGCACGAAGCGTCGGTAACAGCCGGCTAGACCCAAGAAGCTTCAAATCTCGGACACGTTAGTAGGTCGTGGCCAATCCACGATTGTTACAATCTTTTAGGGGTCAACTAAGATGCCATCTTTATTAATGACGTGACTGAGGAAGTGTATACTAGTGATTCAGAAGTCGCATTTCTTCAATTTGGCATAAAGCTTATGATCACGCAGTGTGTGTAGAACTCTCCACAAGTGGTGCTCATGATCTTCTGGTGATTTGGAGTATATGAGAATGTCATCAATGAAGACAATGACGAACTCGTCAAGATAAGGTTTGAACACTCGATTTATGAGGTCCATGAAGGCCGCTGGAGTATTTGTGACGCCAAATCGCATGACGAGAAACTTGTAGTGCCCGTAACAAGTTTTAAAGGCAATCTTTTCGATGCTTTCCATTTTGACTTTTAGTTGATGGTAGCCAGAACGCAAGTCAATTTTTTAGAATACTTGGGCGCCTTATAGTTGGTCGAACAGGTCATCGATTCGTGGCAGATGGTACCGATTTTTTATGGTGACTTTGTTCAACTCCTGATAATCGATGCATAACCTCATCGTGCCATCCTTTTCTTTACGAATAATACTGGAGCTCTCCATGGTGAGGTACTTGGTCGAATGAAACCTTTGTCCAGTTCCTGGAGTTGAGTCTTCAATTCTTTTAATTCTGTCATGGACATACGGTAAGGGGCTTTTGAGATTGGTTGTGTACCAGGTTGGGTTTCAATGGTGAATTCGATTTCTCGGTTAACCGGGGTGCCAAGTAGGTCTTCAAGAAATATATTCAGGAATTCTCGAACCACATAGATTGTATCAATTATGGGAGTTTCTTGTTGCGTATCAATCACATAACAAATACAACTACAATAACCCTTTCTTAGAAGCCGTTGAGCTGTCATAAAGGATATATCACATGGAGGGGGAGAGACTAGTTCCTTTGAAGACAAGCTCGAGTTGGTTTGGTGACCGGAGGAAGACCTTTTTGGCTTCACAATCAATAGAGGCATGGTTGGCAGCTAACCAATCCATTCCTAAGATCACATCAAAGGTACTAATGCAGAGGGGAATCAAGTCTAGGTGTAAGGTTTCCCCTTTTAAGGATACAGAACAAGATTTGTACACATCAGCACTAAAGGAGGAGTTTCCAGAAAGAAAAGACACAGATAGTATGTGTCCTAAGGGTTCGGGTGTTAATGCCAACTTGGTAGCAAAGTGTGGTGTAACAAAAGAATGAGTTGAACCAGAGTCAAAGAGAACATAGGCTAAGTGACCACAAACAGAAAGTGTACTTGACATAAAATTCTCAGTAACTTCTAGGTTTCCAGGCACCAGGGCAAAGGCTTTTCCTTGGCGTTATTGGTCCTTCCTCACTCCTCCAGGTACCGCGGGTTTTCGGACTGCTTCAGAGGGGTCGGCTGTAGGACTGGCAAGCTTGGGACAATCTCTCAGCAAGTGGCCAACTTGGCCACATCTAAAACATGCTCCCGTGTCTCGACGACATTGTCCCCAATGAATCCTTCCACACGTAGAGCAAGTTGGAATGGTGCCACCTCTGGGATTTGTAGGACCTTGATTGCTTGAACTGGTTGAACTGGTTGTGCCCGTATTTACTCTCTTGGGAGGCGCGACACCGGGTCTTCTGTTATCTCTTTCCCAGAATCGCTTCCTCCGACTTGGTTCCCTGGAACGCAAGGCTTTAATCCATTTTTCTGCAATGTAAGCTCGATCTACCACTATCGCATAGGTTGGTAGTTTCAAAACCTCCAGTCTGTCCTTGATTTTAAGATTCAATCCTGCTTCAAATTTCCTGACTTTTCGAGCTTCGGTGGGATGACGTATGTCGCGAATCGGGCCAGTTGCGTGAACTTGCTCTCGTATTTGGCCACTGTCATGGTTCCTTGTCTTAGATGTATGAATTCTGATGCTTTTTATTCCCGTAGTGAATCTGGAAAGTATTTTTCATAAAATACCTCCAAGAATCTGGCCCAAGTGGCAATATCTTCTTTCTCCAGGGTAAGTAGCCACCATTCTTATGCATCGTCTTTAAAGATGAATGTAGCGAAAGTCACCTTTTGCCTTTTTGTGCAAGGTAGTGTGTGAAAAATTTTCTCCATAGCTCTAACCCAAGCTTCTACCACCAGGGGGTTTGTACTGCCAGTGAATATGGTAGGTTTCAAGTCTTGGAACTATTTTATTGTAGTTGGTTCTTCTCGTCATTCAGGCAATCCGTTATTAATGTTGGTTTGTAGGGCTCGCAGAAAACTAGTAATTGCTCTTTCCATGATTTGCTCCATTGGATCAGTATCGCTAACCGACGATACTGTTCCATTTCCATCATTAGCCATTACTACAAGGTAAAATGATATAAACGTGACATCACATTAATATAACTTTGATACAATGTCATATATAACGTATTAGTTTTATTAGTTTTACTACCACATTAATATTACCTCATTAATACTACATAAAACATCATTGTTGCTAGACATAAGGCGTTAGTCCAGTCGTCAAGAGTTAATCTCTAATCCTACTGATACAAAAATATAAGGATTACACTAGTTATTGTCAGCTCCCCCCCAAAAAAAAATGATCAGCGACATCTCTCAGTCATGCTCCTAGAATAGCTCACTAAGCCCCCACGAAAACTGGCTCTGGAAGACTGGGCCATAGAACAGCCATGGGAACTCCTGCTGTACGAGGGACTCAAACTCTCATCCACTGAGCTTAATCCCAAAACAATGCCAAACTACCTAGACCATGTAGACCGGTACACCTGGTCATATCCCCAAAATTGCCGCCCAATGAGCCGCACCGGCATCTCTAAGTATTTGGTACTGTCAGTGTAGTCCACAGCTAGGGTCTGGACAATGTGCTGTAGAGGAGGTGTAGTAGTGTGAATATGGCTGCTAAGGTATATATTCCCTCTTCTCTCAGCAAAGCCAGGGGTTAAGAGAGCAACCAAGAAATGCGAATGTACCAATCCGACGACGTGTGTCGGCCCAATGTATCTCTCTTAGGTGCTAGCCCGGCTAAGTCTGCAAAACAGGTAGTCCTCATCAGGGTCGACCTACAAATATACTGGTCTCCCCATGAGTCAATCAAGGCCAGGGTGGGTCTGTCCGATAGTGTTCTCTGAGTCCCCCCATTCCTTTAATAAGTTAGGGGCCAGATGCGCTCCCTTGGGCTTGAACGAAATCAATTATTCCTGGTATGCGATGTCCTACAACACAGGAAAACTTAGCCTACCCAATATTTATTTAAATCATGTTGGACACAATATTTCATTTATTATTATTTTTTTTATTATGACAATATATATATATATAATTAAACAATTATAATGTTGGGCCAAGT